GGGGCGCGGGGGAGGGCGCAGCGCCTCCCCCGCAATGTAACTTGGCATGACCAAAAAAACACATATCATGGAGTTTCCCCAATGAATCTTCCTTTGATAACTGCAATGGTCTCCGTGCTGGGCATCTGGGCAAAGTTTTGCAACATCGCATTTCAATTTCACAGCCTTCCTTCCTTCCTTCCTTCCTTGCTTCCTCTTCCTTTCTTGCCTCGTTCCTTCCTTTCTTCCTTTCTTCCTTTGCTCGTTTCTTTCTATGTTTTGTTTGATGCATTTTTATTTCTTGTTTGATGCATTGTTGTTTATTTCTTGATGCATTTTAATTTTTATTTTGATGCGTCTCCCCAACAGGCCGTGGCCAATCTGCCTGTTCTAGGGGGGAAACCAATCTGACTCCCAAGCCGGAGATTCTTGGAAAAAAGGCCACAGTTTCCACCTGTTCTACCTCTCGCGCGAACGACTGCAGACGAACGCTAGCGCCGACCACTCTGGATCAAGCGCCAAACAAGCGAAAACGGGGGAAGGCCCCCAAGGACTGAGTGGAGAAACCAAGAGAAACCAAAACAACCAAATCATATCCCCAAACAAGAATTAGAGGTCCACTGAGGTAGGTCATGGATCCTCGTGCTGCGCCTGCGCTGGGTTTGATGCTTGAAAAGCATGACTACATGACATATGGACGATCCCAAAATGCGATCTTCTGAAAATGGTCGGCAACTTGAGCTGAACATCTTTGCCATATGTAGACCCAAAACATCACAAGATAGAGATCAACAGAATAGAATTGACCCACCCTCAGAACTAACTCTCGGCTGAAAATCCTAAAATCTATTCCAGCCTGCAGCATGACCGGTCTGGTTTTGAGCCCTTCAACGGAGTGTGGTTAGGAACAGATTTCAGGATTTCAGCTGAGAGTTCTAAGGGTGGGTCAGTCTTCAAGTCTTAGTAAGGGTTTAAGTGAGGCAATCGAAGATGCATCCTCCAGGATCAATATGCTTTGCTAGCACCCAGCAAAACAATGAGTCATTGTCGTCTTTAACGACCTCCCATGGCATGCTTGACCAAAGGACTGTGCTTGATCCAGCCCGCCCACCAACTGACATCTGGGTCCTCCGAACACGAGTCCGAAAGCTACCAGGATGTAGAGTGGATAGAATGCCAACTGGTTGATCTGGCAGAATTGCAGGAAATGAACTCAGATCGATCAAAGGTAGCTCTCCCTGCAGAATCTACTTCTCTGTCGATGTGGTGACGTGGTGTGGTTTTGGCACTTGCAAGGTCCCGTGCTTTGCAAACTCTGGCCAGAATCGCTTGACGATGAATTGGAGGAGAATGCCTCTAGAGTATGCTGAAAGTATCCATGACCCCCAAGCTTTGTTCACCAGCGTTATCTACATTTATCTACCTGTTTGAGCTTCTTTTAAAACATTCGGACTATCGTGAGCTTCTCCCCGATTCCCTGCTTGCCGCAATCGGGCAAGGCCTGGCGCTTCTACCCCACAGTTTTGTGCTTCTACTCGAATAAGCAGCATGAAAAACACAATTTTTGTATCTCATTAATACATCTATATACTGATATCACTGATCGATATCTACCATCTGAGTGCTGCTGAAATGTTGACAACAATTCCACACACCACCCGAGAACCGCGATGAACTGTAATGTGCATACACAGCTTTGGAGCTTCAAGAGGCTCTAGGTGCTGCAGGCTTTCCAGGAGCACTCCGGCCCCAATCATGCTGGAGAGGCCAAGTAGGGATCAA